GATATGTAAAAAGCTTGAAATCTAAACGTACATATCTCGCCACCCAAGCTGCTAATTCACTGATGATTTAAGCTAATCGAAAAGGATACATCGAAACCACAACAAACGAAACGACCAGCATTTTCTCTTACAGCTAAACAAGACTTATCTCGATACAAATGCTCCTTAAGTTTATAGGAAAACACTTTTGACTCTAGAAACCTTTATTCTTGCTAATTGATCTTAATAAGAACATTGTCTTAATGAATATATAAACTACTAAAATATTATGTAATATTCAAGTTTTTGGTCGATAGAGAGTAGAGACTAATTATTCCAAAGTGAAAAAAATAAAAAAATAAAGAAGCAACGAAAAATAGTCGTATTTAAAACATGAGCATGAAAAGTTTGACTCCAAGTCCAACGACCAGAGGGGTTTTTTTATGACCGTCAATTTAAAACTCAGATTCTCCTTTTTGCAACCTTACGCCATTGTGCAGTGCAGACCGATCAATCATTTATCGAGACTGGAACCAAAATTAGCAAGTAGGTTTTGCATCTAATAGGTTTCACCGTTTTTGTTCACAATATTTTCCCTAAATTTTCCTCTTTTCTGTTTTCTTGGAATTTTGTAGTGTACCCGAAAGTGAAAGCTGACAACGAAACTGGTAAATACAAGCAGAGTGGTTCTTGTCTGAATTCGAACTTTCCCCAATCTCGTGTCTCTGGTACTTGCCCTCTCTGCTATTAGATTTCTTGTAGGGTTGACTTTGTTATACTTTTATCTTTAGAAACATTGACTTTGTTTGTTGTTTAGAGATCAAAGAACATTTTTTGCTTGTCCTTAGCTAACATTTGATTCAATCGTCTCTTTTTTTCTCATTTGGACAGAGAATAATCAAGAAGAAGAAGATTCACAAATATATGTAGTAGCTAAGATTCCCAAGGTTTACATACCAAGTGTAGTAGTCATTTCTGAAAGTAAATCCGTAGAAATGAATAAGCGTATCAGAGGAACTGACATTAAAGCTAAACAGAAAACTAAAGCTAGTCCGATCCTACGTCCACGCGCTGTTGTATCAAGTCCCGGTATGGTTTTCGAGTTGGCTATATCGTTATCACTCGTCGTAATATAGAGATTTTATGTTTATGTACATGGGGCTTAGCTATAGTGTCAAACAATGTTGAACTCGATATATCAAAAAATAATGATTTTTGCTATCGGATTCTCTTTTGTAGATAATGATGCAATGATTGGGAGCATAAACAGGAGTGAAGAAAGGAAAGCTAAGAAAGGTTTGAAGTGTGATGATAAGATCTGTAGCAGAGCTTCTCAGCGTAAGCATATTGATACCGATGTGAGGAAGATTTCCCATCGTATAGTTGCTAAGCAATCGGGTGTCAATTCCAGGGATCACAAATGATTAGCTTTGCTTGTTGATGATTTCAAAGATTCATTCACGGTTTGATCATAATAAGGGTCTTATTAATCTTATTTAAAAAGTAGTTTTTACACGGTTTTGAGAGTATCTAGCAGAAATTTTGGTTAGTTCATATGTTCTTGTTAGTTTTTTGTTATCTACTATTCACATGACATACCAGTTTAGCCATTTATGTATGTCGTGAATTCCTACGATAATCGGTTTGATATTATAGTAATATACATTTTTCTTTTTCAAAAGTGATTTGAATTCTGTTTCATAACACAGTTGTTTTTAAATATCTGTTCTTGACTGCATTGGGAAGGCTACTGAATATCTTAGAGTAATGAATCAACGAGGATTCTCTAAAGGAAAGTAAACTTATGGGACTCTTCTTAAGTACTTAGTTGATATGGGAATGGTAGAGGAATTCAAAATTTCCTAGGATTTTATTAGGGAGACAAGTCCTGCTTCTCTTGGGAAAATGGGCTTCTTCGAAATGCTTATTTGGATCCAAGTCGACGACAAAGAGAAGATCCACGAACTTTGCAGTACATTCGACAATAGTGGTACTGCAAAGGTACGCAGTACGTGTATTTAGCCTTTTGTGCTTAAACAGAACATTATTTGGGTGCACTGTGTGAGAAAGACAGAAAGGAAAATCTCCAGAGGCCGTTAGAGATTGTCGACATAACAAAAGTTTCTTCACGACGCCTATTGACAAACATATTTAGCTACCTTGGAAGGTCGCTATTGGAGTCTGTTGCGATGAAGTTCCTTAGGGAACTAAGTAAAGGTGAGTATAAATCAACCGAAAACACTTGCATTTGTTTTACTATATTGATATTGTGAATTTTGAAGAAAGTGAGGGTGATGTATACTCGATTGCGTCCCAAATTCCACGGTGTGGAATCTCCATACATAATGCTTCTTAGTTGTAGCTAAAGTTAACTCAAGTTTTTTCCTTGTTTTGTTTCTATGGATTGACAATGCTTCTTAGTAGACATCACTTGGGTGTGATAGGTAGAATTTTAGTTCTAAGCTTTATGTTAAAACAAAATGAAGTTTAATTAGCTAATATTTTATCTACGCTTGCTTGATCCATTAACCCTCTTTCTAACTAAATATTTTTGGTATTTTTGATTTTTAACTTTGTGCTTACCATGTATGCATTGGTAACGGTACATTAGTCTCTAGTTGCAAAAACGTTTGAATTTGATGTCACTCACATACATCTCTCAATTAGCATTAAGTTGTTGAAGGGTTTCGTTTAAAGATAAGCCTACGCTTCCTAAGGGTCCACAGTGGCCCTGGCCTGGACCAAAACATGACAAATCTTGGTAACAAGGCGAAACCACTCGGTCACAACCACTTAGTTTGTTTTTTTCTTTCTTTCGTTTTGAACCATAAAAATCGGATTTGGATTAATAAACAAACTTCACATAACGGTTAGCTACCAAGAAAAGAAAAAGCAAAAAAACCACACTTTTCAACCACACTTTCTGATTAAGTAGAAACAAGATAGAACAAACACAAGAGTTTTAAGCAGCTCTTGCAAGAACTTGAAGACTCTCAGGAACATCAGAAGGTTCAATGAAGAAACTTCTCCTTCTCAAAGCCATCTTTGGTACAATCACAGTCAATACACCATCTTCATAACCAGCTGATATTCCGGTTATATCTATCGAGTCCGGTAATCGGAATTTCCTTTTAAAACTCGGTCTCTCCGTAGTCTCTGTTCGTATGATCAAGTATATAGAATCTTCTATCTCCACTTTGATTTCTTCTTTCCTCAAACCTGATTTAAACACATAACATTTGAGAAATACTAGATTCTATAATAATACAAATATGATGGTAATGTAATGAGGGATTAGTACCAGGAAGATCAACAGAGAAAATGTGAGAATCTGGAGACTGAGACCAACGAATATGATTCTCTTGAGAAATTTGGTAGTCATTTGGAGATTGAGAAGATAGAACATATTCCCATGGTGTCGGTTGAATTGTCTGAATATCCATAATTATG